ATTAATTCCGAATTCCGAATTCCAGCTCTTTTCGACTTGCCGCAACATGACCAATCACTTTCACCAGCCGCAACGATCTAATTAATTTGTTGCAAAATAATTTATTAATTAGCATGTCAGTGTCAGAGATTTTCGGCCACGGCTTATCATTAAACAAAGGAAAAGCCACGCAGCAGATGGACTTTATTCAGGGCAAGGGGCGGATAGAGGCGGGTAGAGACGAGAGTCCGGCGAGCGGTAAATAGGCAATTAATCTGGCTCAACTGCGGACAGGTGTGCGCGAAAAAGCTGCATAGAAAAAGCAAAGCCATTGGCCCATTGCCATTGCAAACGCCATAGCCATTGGCTCGGCCTTGTATCTCGCAATTCGCCGGACACCGATGAAGAAAGGAAGGCCGGACAGACAGGCGGGCAAACTGCCGGAACGGAGTGCGCAAATGGAGGACAGCCAGCGGGAAATTGAACGAGCAATTATTTATTAATTTAACAGACACGCAATGCACATGGAGTTATCTCGATGCGATTCCTGACATCCGCTCCGATTGCGAGCAATTCGAATTTTTGCATCGCACTGCTGTTGAATGTCAGCGAAGGATGCAGACTCTGATTCTGATTCAGATTCAGATGCACTTGCAGTTGCAGTTGCAGTGCGTGTGTGTCGGCCATTAAGCATTTATGATGTGCATGTCAGCGTCGGGATTCCAGCTCCAGGCAGGATTCGCAGGACACACTGTCCGCTGATTTCCCTGGCGACCTGACCTCCGCAGGACTTTCCGGCTGCTTCGCCGCTGCTTTAATTCAACAGCCTGGCTTAAGAATCATAAGACAATTAATCAATTGCCTCGTTAAGTTCCATTTAATTGGCAGCTCTCGTCGAGTCAGGTGATTCCTGACAGCCGCATCGGGCAGATCCTCTTAGACGAGGGACATCAATAAAAAGTTATTCAAAAGTCAGTTGCCTCCTCTTAAGAATTTAATAAGAACCAACGCTTTCGGTTCAGCTTTTTGGCTTTGGCCTCCTTTTCCACATGGCCTGAAGGGCTTGGCATTTTGGCTAGGTCTTAGCAAAATGCAGGGAGGCATTTGCCCAAACCGAAATGAAAACTAAAACGTCGCATTTTGCACTCCCATCTGCAGAGCTGTATTCGAGTCTCTGGGTCAGCAATTTGCCAAGTTTCTGGCAAGTGAAAATGAAAGCCCTCAGTGTCCGTGTGTCTGTGTATCTGTGTGCTTGCCAGTGTGTGCAACGGAAGTGGGTAAATAGTGCTAGAAGGAAATGTACAAATAAATATTTGCAAATGAAAATGAACAAGGAAATGGAAGCGCCATGTGGCAGCGACAAGCGCTAAAACGTTTTATATATGTGTCCGAAACGATAATAAATGCGGCTCTTTGGCCACACAACAATTTGCAGCAACCCTGATCCCCAAATACCTCATAGAAAATTCCTAGGAAAATTCGTGCATTGTTTTACAGCTGCACAATGGGTCGGAATTGTCGTTTTTATTTTCTTTTTTTTTGGCAAAAAGTCGCAATGTTTTCCCCGAAATGCAGCCCTTTGACTATAGTTTTATGTGTCAAGCTGAATATAGTTTTCCATTAATAGTTCCTAGAATTATTAAAGTATTTTCCTAGTATTGATTATAAAGGCAACCTTGAGAAGTTTCTGCGTTCAAATACTTTAGTCTTCATCACCTTCTGACAAAAAGGAGCATTTCCCCAGGGATTCCCCGCATTTATCAAAGACTTATTATGAGCCCAAATCATGATTGAAAATTTAATGGCCAACTTTAAAGCCAAAGATTATCGCCAGTGAATCAAATTAATTCGAGTGCAGAAATTCCAGATAAAAAGGAGCAAAATATGTAAAGGCAAAAATGCTAACCAACTGAATTATTTTCAAATCATTCTAGGCAAAAGCAATTTGCATCTCAATTGGTGCTCAAAAATCGAGGGGCGACGGACTAGGAGGAGCAAAGGATCTGACGGGAATGGGCATAGAGATGGGGCAGAAGGAGAAAAAATGCTGCCACAAAGCGGCAATCAGTAACAGTTATAGCGGAAAATAGCTATAATATGTATAGAGCTGATATGAATATCTAGCCCAAAACAGGCAGAAAATTGCAAAAGTGCCTAAAAAGAATCCACAGAACCGAAAAAAACACACAGAAGGAGGGTCGCAGGCAGCTGCACACATGACTGAAATTAAAATAGCAACAGCAACAGACGAGTGGATGAGGATACTTTAGAGGGGAAGGGGTGTATGGGGCAGGGACAGGAAGGAGGACGAACGGCAACCACACAAAAGCAATTTCGATCAGGCACAAAGATAAGGAGCGGATTCGAGCAGAGAGAGAGAGAGAGAGCCAACGCAGCACATCAGTTACAAAAATGTAGGCTACCCCTCAAGACCACCCGGCCCCCGTAAAAACCCCCTAAGACACCCTCAAACACCCGGAAAAACCAGGCCCACACCTCAACAAAGGACCAGTGAAAGCAAAGCAGATAAAGACGAGCCGAAAAAAGGAACGAGAATAAAGGGCCGGAGTATCAAGCACACAAGGATGCGCTGGAGGATTCGTGGTTTAGGCCTCTTTCTCTTTCCCAATTTCCCCCGTTTTCTTATTTTTTTTTCTGCGGCTGCTGTAGGTGCGCTAAAATTATGCAAATCATCGTAATACTTTCCCGACAAAAAAGCAAAGCGGAAGGAAATTGTGTAAAAGCGGGAAAAGAAGGTGGGTATGTAAGTATGTTCGGCTTGTCTGTCTGCTGCTGGCAGCCTTTTTGGCAGGCTACAAAGCAAATAATTGCCCCAGAAATTGGGGCCATGCAAACTGTAATGTAATGGAGCCGTTTCGCTTTGGACGTCGTCGCATGTGTAGCCCTAATGATGATATTTCCAAAAAGAACTGAATCAAATAAAGCTGCTGTGGCCGGGCGGGCAACAGTAAAATGAAGTGAAATACTTGGCAAGTGTTTACTCAAGCGACCGCAGTCAATGGAGGAAAGCTTAAAGACTCGCCCGCCATAAAAGAGTTTAAGCTGCCGCGCAGTCGAGCATAAAGTGCATACCCCCTCCATTGCCAGCATTCAGCCTTCCAGCATCCTTGGTTTCCGCTTCCTGTGGCTTGGTCGAAAAATTTAATAAACGTCAAGCTGAGAGGCAACGGAGCGACGGACCAAACATTGCACCTGCCGTTGACCGCATTCGGGAATGTTAGTGAAAAGGTGGGACTCTGAAATGCATACTTGTATAACCATGCCCATACCCATACCCATACCCATCCTCATACCGACATATCCGTACGTATACGTATTGTCCACACGAGTCGGGGGTAAAAATTTGCAATATAACGTATACGAGCCGTGACACATTTGGGACAGCAAGCAAGCTTGATCCCTGATATCAGGAAACTTCATAAGTCCGCCCCCTCTAAGACCCATCTCTGATTTATGGTCTCTAACTTGCTTAAGTTGCCATCGCTCATATGTCTTTGCGGCCTTATAATTGCACTTCTAAACATGGACCATTTATAAATCTTAGACTTGCAAAACTTTTCCCATTTCCCCGATAATTTCGCGCAACATTAACGAGCTTATTAATCGTTGCCCACACACACACAGTCAGAGACATCAAGCACGTCGTCTACCGATTCCCGGACTCAAGACTCAAGATCCTGGGATGAAGGACGCGTGAAATTGTCAAAGTGTTGGCCAACCACACACACACACACACACACACATTCCAAGCACAACCACAGTAACGCGGGGTATGGGTTTTCGGAATTTTATTGGTCCCCCTGGCGTAGGGCGCATACCTTTTTTGAATAGCGCGACACATTAACTTAATAATTTAGTGGGTGTCGAGTGGGCTGTTATAAATATTTATAAGCGATACAGGGGGGCGTGGCCTGAGTGGGCCGTCGATGGCAGGTCTAGATCTGCAGCTAAGAGCTACTCCAAACTATCCGGCCGTATAGGGATTCTCCGGGCTCTCAGGCTTCTCAGGCTCAATTGCGCGTAAAAGTCAAATGTCTCTGCCTTTCCCAAAAAGCTTCCTTGGCTTTTGGCACTTGGCACACACACTCTCTACCCACTTGAAGATTTCAATACATACATGCAAAGTTGGCACGTTTTGGCACACACACACACAGAGCAACATAGCTCTCTAAGTCGGCGTTATATATGCGCATGTATTAGTTTTGGCCGCCATTTCTGCATGCCGTACAAACGGAAAAGCTTACAGTCGTTAAGGGATTTAGCAGGCAAATATAAATTTATGAAATATTCGACAAGAGCACAACGGCAAGGATGTGCCAGTATGGTTGTTGCGCTGTTCGGAGGATTGGGCTTGGGTGCTTGTCGATGGTATTGCACCTTTCCGCAAACAAACCAGAAAGTCAGACCGTTTTGGCCATGTTATATGTAGCTATATATGGCAACAGCAACAACAAATACAATCTGCAGCCACAGCACGACTTGTTGTTGGCCACTGGACATGGACATGGACCGGGACATGGACAAAATCAATGCTAAACCAAACCGAACTAATGTTATTTGTGGAACAAACAACGATAATGAAATCATGGGGCGCTGGGTAAATGGAAAGTGATTCGGTTGGCTCTGGTCAGGTTGTGGCATCGGGCCAATAACTAATTTCATTTACTCTGCCAGGCACATTTGCAATCGAATGGTAGCATATGCACACAAAAGTTGACATTATCCACATGGGGCACCTGAATTGCACATTACCCGGGGCTCGATCTGGAAGTAATTAAGCCAACAAACAGGTGATAATCCAGGCCAGATCTTAAATCGTAACCTTGTGTTATCAATTTGGGTCGTTCGAGCAGGCAAACAATAATAAAAATCGGCAATGAATTGCATTTATTATGAAACAGTTGTGCATACAATCAAAAATATATCAATAAGAAAGTGCGATTCCCAAATAATATAAATAAACCTGCAAGCCATCCGCTGTCGAATTGAATCTGAGGAACATGTGGAGAATTATCCTGCCACTGCTGGCTCTTTGTGCCTTGGGTAAGCTCAACTATTATTTGCATTTAAAGAGGTTAAACATTTTTTTTACCTTTTTAGCTCAGGCCCAGTGTCGGTTCACAAGACCCCAAGTGGAGGGAACCAATCGCATCTTCATGGTGCGCTTGCAGAACCGCCAGCTCTCCCTTAAGCGCACTGCCAGCTCGGCGGTGGGTGAAGTCCTGCAGATGTGGTGCAATGCCCGGGACATTCAGACCACCACTTGCCAGGCGGGTCAGACCCCAGGCTTTCGGCCACCATTACCTATGACCTGTCGAGCTCCTCCGGCAGCTCTAACAACACCCGTCCAGGATCGCAGGTGTCCGGCCACTATGTACCGCGTGGGATACAATGTGGGCAACAACCAGTTCCTGGAGCTCTATCGCGCCTGCTTCGATACCAGAGCGGTGCGAGCGATCTTCGTGGAGCATCAGGTGTACGCCAAGCCTTTCTGTAAGTTATAAGATTTATATTTTAAGAAAATGATATTAACTTACATTTCAAGATATCACTCGACCCTGCGTTCAGTTTAGTTCCGATGGAGTGATCAGCGGAGCCGATGAGGCCAGTTACACGGTTCGCAACATTCATGCTACTTTCAGGCGGCTGTTTGGCAACAACCAGAACTTCATACCCAACAACCGGGATGTGATCATCAATCGTGGCCACTTGGCTGCATCGGCTGACTTCTTCTTTGGTGACCAAGTGTGTTCCACCTTCAAGTACGTGAATGCGGTGCCGCAGTTCAAGACCATCAACGATGGCAATTGGGAGACCATCGAACGATGGGTTCGCAACTCGGTAAGGGGAAACCAATTCGTGAATGTACGCACTGGAGCCAGAGATGTGCTATCCCTGCAAGCAGGCGCTGGATCCAGGAATGTCTTTCTCAGCGGCAATAGGAACCCAGTGCCACTGTGGATGTACAAGATAGTAAGGAACTCCAATAACCAGCCCATCGTGGCCTTCCTCACCCTCAACAACATCTTCGCCCGACAACGTCCAGCGGCTCCGAACTTTTGCCAGCCTGTGAACTGTCCAATGCCATTGGCCAACACTGCAACGGCTGGATTTACCTTCTGTTGCAACACCGCCACTTTCAGACCGTAATTTGATTCAAGTTTGTCAATTATTACAGTTTTTTCTTAAAATATTTTGATTACCACTTGGGACTCAACTTACTATCGTGGCTTTTAAAAATAATTAGAGCACGAATATTGGTCAGCACTTAAGACAAATTAAAGTGAAATGAAATATATTTTTATGTCTTTATGGGGTGAATCAATTTTCATAAATCGTAAAAGTTTGCGTGGCAGTTTAAAACGCATCCAAACTCTTCGAATTCATGCCTCATTCGGAATGGACTCCAGCCGTCAGTTTTAATGGTCATTCAGCGGCTTCTCATAAATTCCGCCCTACCATTTCAGCCCGCAACTCGCTTTTGGCCCATTTAAATTCAAGCTGCGATTGTGGAAGGCGAAGGCAGCAGACGCTTTTCAATGCGTGCGAGTGCAATAAAGGCCATGGCAATTGCTTCGTCGGGGGTTGCGCCTAAAAGTAGACATTAAATAAATTATTCAGCAGGGCATGGCTGTGTTGCTTTTAAATACGCACGCCTGCGAAATTGTTTTGTGCGTGAGTCGGTGGCGTCTCTGATGGATATCAACGGAACAAAGAGGGGAATGGACACTGGGAGCTCATAAAAGTGCAGAATAAATTTAGCAACCCGGACATGCGTTGAACTAGGCTCTCATAAAACCTAACAGTTGTAATTGTGCTGTAAACACGCAACTCAATGGCATTGCGAATGGGCTGAGCACTTGCACCACCCTTGCTTAACCACCCAACCACCTACATCCTCTACATTTCTATGCATCCATATCCATCCTGCACTGCGGCACAATTTAATTTATGCTCCGTTTTGTGGCCGGCTTGTTGATTTTGCTGCTTTGCCCCTTTTATTTTTATTGACCATTACAATTGTACAGAAGCAGCCGAGCCAGACTCACACCACACGATTTGAGTCACAAATTTTATATGGCATAATTTGGTTCGCCCCTGTGAGCATGCATTAAAAGTGCCCAAATAGCGCCAAATTGCTCGTAAGCTGCGGAAATTGCGTTACGCCCACTCCAAATCCCGTCGAACAGGATTCAGACAAAAGCCTAGCATACTTTGGCGAGCATTAACCATTTCGCAACATGGACATTAAAATACACAGCCACTTAGACCACTCCCAAACATTTGAACAAGTACCAATTCAATGACCAGACCATAAAACAAGCCCATTATTCAGGCTCTGACTGTCTGTCTGTCTAGCTTAGATTTCAGTAAAAGTTACACCTCAGACTTTAGCCACAAAAATCTATAGTTAACCACAACACCTTTCTTGATAGTCCAATAAGACTCCTATCTAGATACCAAATCCATATGCAGCCCTAATGGTCAGCTATGCTCATTCGTGCATAAGCTGTATATATTTCCTTTCTGGCCAGAGCTTGTGTTTATTACTGGAAAATCAAGTGAATGGTTTTGGGAAATAAATTTCATCAGCAGGCAAGCATAGTAGGAAAATGAAAATATGCGCCAATTACTACGCACATCCCAAGTGGAAAATATTTCTAGATGCAGAGCCGCCCATCAAGTGCAAGCACAATGAAAAATAATAAAAACGCTTTTCAAGCATTTAAGCCAGTAGGAAATGGGGATATACTAGTATGCTTTCGGCCAAAAATAGTCTGTTGTCTCGGATGAGAATTTCTGAATGCAGACACGTGCCCACGAGCTTGGCCAGAACAATGAGGACAGACCAAGTGAGCGGGCCTAAATGGTATATAAGCAACAGTGGAGCAGCTCATCGATCAACAAACACAGCATGGAAGCTCAACAACTGCTGCTGATCGTTGCTATTGGACTGGGACTGGGTAAGAGAGAATAAAATGGGAATTAGCAAATTATAAAAGTGTCTCAGTTTTCGCCCTGATAAGTAATGAGAAATCCCTCTAATATGCAGAAAATAAAAGGTTGGAAATAAAACAAAGAAAAGTTTATGTTTCAAATTGTCCAAATTAGTTCATAATAGAAGGCAAAAAGTTATAAAGGCCTATTAATTCTCCCTTCCTTCCTTTCCAGTGCTCCTCTCCCAGGCGGATTGCCCGCTCTCCAGAGCCATGATCGAGGGCACCAATCGCATATTCACCAACCGCAATGCCGCCGGCCAGTACGAACTGAAGCGTCTTCAGAGGGTACGCACCAACGAGGTGCTTCACATGATCTGCCAGGCGAATGACATTGTCCAGACAACCTGTCAGCAGAATACCAACTTCAGCAGACCTCTCCCTCTCCGATGCCAAAGACCCATGGCTGCCTCGGCAACCGTCGTAACCGATGCCTCCTGTCCAGCCACCATGTACTCCGTGGGCTATACCATCAACAATCAGCGTCTGGAACTATATCGTGCTTGCTACGATCGTAATGGAGTCCGAGCCAGGTTTAGCAGGCATTCGGTGTACCACAAGACGTTCTGTGAGTGGTGGCTACTCCCTTCTGCCCCTGTGATTGGATATAATGAGTAATTTCTCTTTTAACTTATAGTCCCGCAACGTCCATGTGCCGATTTCTCTAGGGATGGAATCATCAGCGAGACCGATGCTTCAAGTTTCTTTCCCCGCACCATTTTCCGAGCATTCCGCACAATTTTTGGCAATAACCAGAGGTACATCCCCAACGAACGAGACACGATCATCAATCGTGGACATCTGACCCCGTCGGGTGACTTCCTCTACGGAGATCAGATGTGTGCCACCTTCAAGTACATTAATGTGGCACCCATGTTCAAGAGCATCAATGATCGTAACTGGGAGACAATAGAAAGATGGATCAGAACTCGCATTAGTGCTGGCGGATTACTGAGGATAAAGACCGGAACTAATGGTGATCTAACCCTGCCGGACAATCGGAGCCGCCAACGGCGCATAATTCTGGGTGCCGGCACCAAGAACACAATGCCCTTGTGGCTTTACAAAGTGGTGCGTACTTCTGCCAATGGACCACACTCTGTTTTCGTGACCCTTAACAACATCTTCGCTCGTGCCCGACCCGCTGCCCCGTCCTTCTGCACCAGTATTCCCTGTCCCATGACCCTGGAGAATGTGGCAGCCGCTGGTTACACCTTCTGCTGCAATGCCACCACTTTTACCCTTTAAACAATAAATATTTTCCAAATCAGCAATTTCAATTGATTGGCTTATTATTGTGACTCAGAAAGACTAGGAGAGATATTCTAATTCAGAAACTGATAAGAGGTTTTTGGAAACGGAACGCAGATGATGCTGAACCTAATCAGTGCTTAGGGACCTTACGGCCACTTGATAAAGTTTCTTAATTGTCAACCTTAACACAAAATATGTATTTTGGTGTCATTCTCAATATATCAAATAGCCCTTTCACTCAATTCTTACCCTTCCCTCGTCTGTCATAATCTTCTTATGACGAAATCCAAGCAGCTCCTGCCTAATGATTGCCCCAACGAACGTTTTCAAGTGCGGAATCTTATTTTATTTTCCCCTGCTGCACCTTAGATTCAATTTTAGATAGGTTTTTATGAGTGGTGCTGACAAAATGCAAGCCATAAAGTTCATTGGATGCAGCTTGAAAGGAAACGGAAGGGCAACTCCTTTGTTATTAAACGTGCGCTGGCAAGGTAAACAAGCCAACCGATGATAAGCGCAGATAAGGCTGACTGAAAGGCGCAGCAAAAGGATGAACTCGGCTCTTTTCACCCACGACCACCCATCGAACCCCAGAGCAAGGTACTTTGCCGCTTATCGCTGATGACCTGCGGAGCGCCTTTGTGATTTCTAGAACCAGAGAGAGTCTTGAAAAAGCTCGATCTCTGAAGCCATAGAGTAGTGACATCTTACTTCGATCATCAGTTCTAGCTGGAAGCCGAAGCTGTGAAGATGAGTAAGCTGAAATATATTTGTACCGTCTTGAGCCTGTTTCTTTGTGAGTAGATTAATAAGAAATGAGAACGAAAGATTAAAAAACATAAATTACAGTCATTCTTAGGGCCAGCGCTGTGTGTATTATTCATCCGGACTTGTTGGAAAAGCATAATATTTATTTAAGAAACGTGAATGGGATCTTCGACATTCAGGGCAGTGATATTGTAGAAACCGACCAACGGGTGTATTTGTTTTGTTATGGGAAAAATCTGGAGGAGTTTGTATGCCAATCCAATACCAATTTCAATCGGCCATTAGAGGATTATAACTGTACATCGGGGTTCCCGCCTTCTGTTGTAGTGCAAAATCACCCCTCTTGTCCCGCTCCCTATAAGTTATATGCCGTCGGCTACCACTACAATGGACACTTTATGGAGCTGTATCAAAACTGTTACGATGTCGGAAAACTAGCATTTAAACATTCCTCCTATATGACTTACCGTTACACAAATAGTACGTTTTCCAACCAATCTTATCCTATATTATCTTACCGCCCCTTCTTTTAGACTCTGAACGTCCGACTCCTTCTTGGGCAACGGATGACTTAGCTAATTTTATTACCGCTTACGAGGGAAGAGCTACTCAAGCTTGTTTTCTCACTAATCTGGGTGCAAAGCAACCGGGTTGCAAGTTTGATCGTGGCCATATGACACCAGCTTCTGCTTTTATTTTTGCAGAGGTTAAAAAAGCAACCTTCAGGTACATAAATGCCATACCCCAATATCTGGGAGTCAATCGTGGCTACTGGAAGTCCATCGAAACCTGGATAACTTCTCTAGTTAAAGAAAAAGATCCAATAAACAAAATCAAACCAGTTTGGCGAACTCACGATCAAATCAAGGTTTGCACAGGGGTACTGGAGGAAGTGCATGCCCTGAAACACAACCACAACAACAATATGATACCTATATACCTTATGAATAATAACAAAATTCCCGTCCCCACGTGGATGTACAAGACAGTAACCACTCTTTCCGGAACGCAGTTGGTAATCCTAACCTACAACGACAATATTCGACCAAGTGATTTGGAAATAAATAGGATCTGCAATACGACTGCCTGTCCTTCAGAACTCCCGACGAACAAAAGGATTGTGGGGCACACTGTCTGCTGCAACCATTACGATTTCATTTCACTAAACGCTGCACATTTGACTGGTATTTGCTGATGCCGAAATGTCTCTAGAAGTTTAGAATGAGAACTTACTACCCAGTGCCGTAAACTTTCGCATATAAAAGTTTCTGTTTAAGCTATATATTACGATTTTATCAATAAAGGTTCCTGATAAAAAATACAAAGTTGCAAATATTTGATTATTATAAGCAATTTAGTAAATATGGCGGAATTATACCACCCTCTTATCGCCAGAGTTCTCGGAATTGTAATGATAAAAAACTTTAAAGGGCGCGGCTTCTAATTCGGTTGACATATTGCGATCCTCAGTTCAAGCTTTTTAGCTTAATGAAGGGATTTACACCATTTGTTTCTTATCGCCAAAAAGAATGACTCACCAGTTAGAAATTTAGTTTCCAATTCTGTGTACATTAAACACTTAAAGTAACAAATAACGTAACATGTAAAAATCTAAGTAATATTATGACTCTGTAACAACTTATCTAAGCTCCAATCTAATCTTTAAGATCACTTTTACAAATGCAATACATCTTGTCTGTTTTGTCATTGACACACGTTGACACCTTTTCATAACTATCGAGCCGACTTATAGTAGGCACCGCTACTTCAACGGAGTTCGTGACATTGTTAAACAGAACGGTGGCCCGAAAGTCGGCGCTATTCTGTTTGACCTTGAACATAGTGCGATAGGTAGCCTCTTCTAAAAAGGGGACATCATCATGGAAATTCTTATCCAAATCGATTTTGATCTCTGTCTTATGGACATAACTGAGGGTTAGCTTCGAGCATATGTCGCTGAGATTCCTTCCGGCCAGGTACTCGTTGATTCGGCCGATCACCATAGCGGCAATACTTTCGGACCAAGACGAATCAAGCCTTTTGTAAGGCACGCAAGTGCAATAATGCTCCGGTATACCGGCGTCCTCACAGGTCCGCGATTCATCGATGGGATGGAATATGGACTGGCACTTTGGACAGTCGGCTGCCTTGGGTAGCGTGAGACCATCAGGAGTGCCGCCCATTTCGATGATGTGTTTCAGTGTGTTGTGCAGATCGTAGTTGGAGGTCAGGCGGTTCTGATTCAACTTTAGGGCATTTACATAATCCGGGTATTGATCACGGAACCAGGGTGGCAAGTATATAAACATCGTTGGCAGACGCTCCTCAAGGAAGCCACTGGGCAAGGACATAATTCTTCCATAACGAGATCCATGATCCGAGAGGAATATCATAATACTCTGCTCGAACGCTCCATCTGCCTCGAAGTCCAGGAGGTACTGCAGCACATAGTCCTCCATTTTTGAGGGCATCTGGAAGCTGTCGTGACTAAAGCTATTCGACCAGAACAGACCCCAAATGGGACGCTCCTCCACAAAACGCCTGGAAAATTCGGTGGCCATGTCGTAGACATAGCTGCTCGTGATACGCCGGCCAATGCAGTATCTCATAGAGCAGTCATCGCATTTCCAGGTATTCATATTCGACTCGAAGGCCTTCTGAAAGGGCCTGAGATAATAGTCGGTGGGTTGTTCCGTAAAGCCGGGCTTAAAGTAGTTGAACGTTCCTATGCCAGTCTCATCCTCTGCATAAGCGGTCAGATAACTGGCATTCCGGAAATACTTCCATATGAAGGGCATCTGATCTAAGCAGCCCTTCTTGTGCCAGTCGCAAACATTTTTTAAAGACTTTTCCTGGTCGTAGCCTGTCAAAATGGCCAACAGGTTGGGAAAGGTGTTGTCTCCAACCTGCAAAGATTAATGTAGTCAATAGTAAAGTCCTGATCTTATCACCCACCTTATTATAGCCCTGTAGTTCATACCAGCCGGTCTTTGTAAGAAAGCTATAAACCTTAGGCATAGTTCGGCGCAAATTAATTCGTGAAAGGCTGTCTATGCCAAACATTAGGACACTTGGCTTCCGCTTAGCCGGTGCCTTCGATAGTCCCTTGGGTAGCGGCTTATATTGAATGAAGGTGTATGCATCACTCTGCAGAATATCCGACTCGTTGCCAAGACGATGGCAAGCCAAAATCAAGCCCTGAACATGCAGTGGTACCTCGTAGTTTTGCGAAAAATACTTTCGCTCCCCCCTATAGAGGTGAAACGTTAGAGATTAGAGAAACTTCCAAGAAAGATATCGAAATGTCAGTATAGAATCTTCCAAGAAAGATATCGAAATGTCATTATAGTCTCACTTATCATAACTGTCGTGCTCCCGGTCCCGCGTTATCTCCTGATAATAGCAGTTGAACTCGCCCTCGTTCAGCTTCAGTATGATAGAGGCCAGCGTCTTGTTGATATACATCATATATCGCTGCCGACCGACGTCATAGATCGGGGTCACCAGAGCGGTTTCGTTGGAGCAGGACTCAAAATGCTCGGCATGGAACACGGCCATGGCATTTTCCTCAAAGGGATCAACATACGGAATCTTGCACTTCTTCGTCTCAACAAAAAAACGTGGAAATGCCTCCTTCACTTGGTTAATTCCTTTCTGAGATTCCTCTAAAGGACTATTTGATCCTTCTTCTGTTATTTCCAAATCTCTAGACATCTCTGTAATTTTCCGGTATTGAGGGCTTGCATGTTGGTTTGTCAGAACAAGAATCACAATTATGGCTATTAGGCAGAAAAAAAGCCATTTAAAAGTCCAATTCAATGGGGTAACCATAGCTGTTCCACCGTCTACTTTCAATTACAGACTATCTACACCACGCGCTGCCTTTTATCATTTAGCAAAGAGCATGAGTGACAGTTTCTGTTCTTTTGGTGAAATGAAGGTATCAACCGGAAACAGGAAGCCAACTTTTTCGCTCACTAAAATACTTTAAATGTAATTAAACGTGTAAAAAAACAAATTCGAAACATTTCGTACAATTATTGGCAGACGAATAATATCACTCTGTGTAGATTAGAGTATCGCGTACTCCTGAGTAATATTTTCTAAGGTAAAACAAAAAACGCTATAGTTGAGTGACGCGACTATCCGTTACCCGTTACTATGCTTACAAGATTTTAAATAATAGTTTTGCCACCCGAATTTGATGCCGTCTACAATTTTTTTACAGTCACTTATTTCCAAATAAAAAATAGTGATTAATAATTGCCGGTGGCGCAGTGCACTTGTAAGGCCTTGTGCCCTACGATAAATAAAAAATACTAAAAAATATTTATATTTTAAAAGTTTTGTTTAATCGATAAGTATTCACAAAAAAATTATTTAAGATTAAAACAAAACTTAAACGTCTCAGCAGGTGCACCAGCACCTCTAGAGTCTTCATGCCTAATCCCAAACGACTAATGGGTATAACTAACAATGTAAAACTTGGCCACTAATTAAAAACTTGAATTGCAGAATTGCTCAAAAAGGCCTCTGTGTTTTCATAGATACCCAGCAGTTCTAATGATGCTGATTAAGTATATATTATCTATTATCAGGTTTAAATATTTAGAATTCGAAATTATGTAATTGGTTTGAGTCATAGCTAAAGCCTTGTCCAAACTTTCCGCCATGTGCGTAAAATTGTATGTGGATTGAGTCATTGCTAGATGCCCATTAAAGCTCAAGCAACAAATTATAAATAAAAAAATTTATACACTCCATGCTCGCCTGTGGTTGGCCGTTAGATGCCCATTAAAGCTCAAGCAACAAATTATAAATAAAAAAATATTTACACTCCATGCTCGCCTGTGGATGGCCGTTTTACAATACTCCATTACCACTCCATCGCATTTTATAATTTTAAATATATGATATAACGTGTATTTATTTTGTATGTGTTATCGGCATAATTTGAAACAAATTATAGATATATAAAAACTACAAAAACTACAACACGTTGTCAACATTAATGTCCAAATAAGAATAAATAGTTGCCCAGCTGACATTATTAGTTATAAGTTTAATCGCAAACATGTAACTGCCCTTTGGAAAAGGGATTACTGTGAACATCTTTTCATGTAAAACGAAGTCCTTTAGTATGATGTCGTGCTGCATTCATAAAAAAGCTATTAAAACCTATATTGGTTGTGTGATTTTTAGATATACCTACATTAATCGGGCAGGAATGATTAACATTAAAGAAGGGCTTCAACGCTTCATAAAAGTAGAAGAAAACATTTGAGGGGTTCGGATGCTTTATGTGGCGGCAAAGGTCCACGGTAGTATTAAATAGGAATGGATGGTAACCGGAAAGTTTTCTCCACACGCTGAAATTTATTTTCATTGTCTTTATAGGCAACTTTAGCACTTTTAAGTGAATGCTAGCTCCGATAATTCCACGCCCCAGGACTTTCAATCGACACACACGTACTTCGACAAAGGATTTATCAAGATCTTCGCATTTGATATTCGTGTGACGAGTTGCTAAATCACAAATTACCGAAGCTCTAAGAACCCACATCACCGCAACGATAAATGCGAACTTCATGTCTTTGAAGCTTATAACGTACTAATTGCTAAATCTCTATTATATAAAGCAATAGCAATTTAATTGGTTTGATTTTTAATTAAGTGCAGTATCACCAAAAACCTATCACTAATTTCGGTTACACTTCACAGAATTCAAATTGACTTTCCGAACTTTTCATAAGCTTTATTATTAGCTGTAGCTTTTCCCTGATAAAAAAAGAAGTATACTTATATTTACTAGCAGCTAAGGTTTTTTGTTGTTAAAAGTTTAATAAAAATGTCATTAAACATATTAAATATTTTTAAAAAATAACGATCCACATCGCCAACACTGTTGGTTTATAACCCCGTTAAATAAACAGGTGGCAACGCTGGTCTTGACATAAGAAAGACACCCTCCATTTTTATGGACAGAAATTTACAAAATATAAGAAGTGTAGCAAATAAATACGTTTATCTCTATTTTTAATTTATGTATTATAAGTAGCATAATTAAAAAGCTATCACCAAAAGAGCAAAAAATTTATAAGACTTCTTAAATCGATCCTATTGGAAAGTTGTAGTATACATTTGACAACACTTTTGATTTATCTTTCGCCCGCGTTGGCGCTTGTGCAATCCAGTTAACAGAAATGTTATCAAATGTTGAGAGGGATGAATATAAGAGAGCCCTATCCAAGAGAGAGAGAGGGAGATAAACGAAACCACGCAGAATAGAGATGATATGATTTCGATATTCCGGAAACATCGATAAAAAGACATTCGACATCGATTCTTGGCCAGCTCTACGTCAGAAAAATTCAATGTTTTTTTTAATTTCGCTGAAAACGGACGTGTTGTCGGAGACCATGGGAAATACAATTTTGTTCTTAATTAATTAGTTTTGACCCGAAATCGCGTGCAGTTCGTCAGACGGTAATTCTTCGTTCGATTTTTACAGCCGCAGGTCGTCTAATATCCAGAACTGCTAGAAAATGCGGCTGGGCCGCAGAAAAAATTAAGAAAAATAAATCGCGTCTAGTGTCGGACGCGTAAAAATACGTTTTAAAAAAGTGGAAGTTGGAAACCTTGCCCCACAAGGATCTGAAAGTAAAACAAGAAGAGATATCCTGGCCCACGCAGGATAGCTGTGTGAAGCAAACGAGTGGTTAAGAAGGAGGGGGCAGCTGAAGCAAAAACAGGATAACAAGACGGAGAAGAAGAAGAAGAAGCAGAAGGCGGTGCCGCATCTGCCGCAGTCAAAACACAAGAGGAAATGCAACAAAAGCGAGATAAAAGTGCATTCAGCTCAGGGAAATGTGAAATGTGAACGATGTTGCAACGTCGCGCTGCTTGCATTGCCAAGTAAAAGCAGAAGCAAAGTAAAAGCAGAATAAAAGCAAATTCAGAACAAACAAAATACACAAAGTGTGTGAGCGAGAGCGAAAGAGAGAGAGAGAGAGGGAGTGTTTGGTGTATCTGTGTTTGGTGCGTTCATCCATTCGCGTGTGTGTGTGTGTGTGTCGACAACAAATTATCGTTTAATTTCCTTCGATTTTGCACAAACAACAAGCAGCGAGAGAGAAAGGGGATGTCCTTTCCACCACCACCACCCCCTAAGGTCATAGGTTACAAGCCAGGAGGTAAGTAAACCAGAATATGAAATCTTTATCAAACATATACACCTAACAAAACGATGAGTTGACCTCGCCGTAAGTCGCGTAGGAAACGAATGCCAAATTTAACCAAAATAAAAAAACACGTTTGCCAACGCCAGCAGCCGCAGCAACAACACCAACAACAACCCATGTCCAATTAAAGTTGCAGTAGGGAAAAAAAGAGCTGAAAAAAAACCGGCATGCCGGCTGCTGCAATTCAGAGCTGCTCAAAGTTAAACGAGCCAAGTAACAGCGGAAACAACAATAACTACAGTGGAACTTCTAAAAGGGCAAACTAGCAGACAGTTTATGTTAAAATAGATTTTTTCTTTGCAACCTCCGACTAAACTGCAGCTTCTTACCTTAAACTTCTTATTGATTAGTTTCAAAATGTTCCGTGCAAAGCAGTTTTTTATTATTTAATCCATATTTTAGTATTTTGAGGAAGTACAACTGTATAAAGGGTACATAAATCGCGTGAGTGTTTGTGCACCTCTGTGGGTGTGTGTGTGTATGGTTTGTTAGCAATAGTACACCAACTCGTGGCGTACTTTAAATATTTCACCTAACTACACAGTGAATTCTGCTCGACTTGCGGTTTTTTCTGCGCCGCCAACTTTTGAAATGAAAATAATCATAATCAAGGGGTTGGGAGCAGAGGGTTAGGCTCTCAACAATGCCACACCCACTCGAATCCCCCAGCACTTTTCCCTTACTATAATGCTAGCTTTTTTTCATGGAAAAGCCAGAATGTATGAATGAGTTAATCAGAGAGCGGAGGCAAAGCGTCAAAAGGCAACAGTCAGCAGACGCATCGTCTGCCCAGCTCTCTGGTTGCCATCGCCATACCCGTCACCATCTCACCATCATCAACAAACAACAAACAAAACGGCAAAAAACAATTGCACTAAAGTTTCACTAGAATCTGCAATGAATCAGAAGGAAAAACCAGAAAAAGGGGCAACACGAAAAGTGCCTGTTGGAAACTTTATACCCTTCTCAGTAAGAATAGTGATGTAATGAAATACTTTTATAAAACATACCTTTAGGACAAAAATTTAGGATCTTTTTATTAAAACAAAACCAATTTTGGCACCAATTTATTCACGTTTTGTAATCTTTAAGTTAAAAGATTCAATTAGATTTCTAAGACATAAACTAATTAAAAACCTCAAAGAGAAAGTATCTACTGTAACAAGTTAGAAACTGGTACTACTATACTCTGTCACCAGGCATCTGCCATGAGAATTAACTATTACATCAAATCAGAACCATATCACAGCTAAATCACCCAATCGTTTTGGAGTGTATCAAATGCCATGACAAAGATCCCGACGATGAGTCTGCTATAAATTGCAATGGCATTCTGCGCTTAACGGGTTTTTTGTTTGCTACATTTTTCGACATTTGCGCCATTGACGTAATTGTCAGACCCGGCCCAGACACACTACTCAACTGAGTCAACTGAACCGTCAGTCTGACACCGCCACTCCAGAGTTCCCGGCTGTTTGGCTCCTCCATTTGCCGTTTTCATACCCATTTCCATTTCCATGTCCAACTCGCTCCCGTCTGCCTTTTTCAAGCTCAAGAGCAAAGTCGGCTTTGCCTTGGTCTTTTCATGAATTTGCATTTGCGGTCGCCGGGAAAATACTCGTATTTTCAGCGGGTATTTTTCATAATTTTCTGCTCGCGCTCTCCGATTTTTCCAGCACATTTTTTCCTTTCGGCCTGGTGGCCCACGGTTCGTTGCACTTTTGTCAAGCTTTTGCCAAAGTTTTCGGCTGAATTTTCGTGTTGTTGTCGGAATCGCACAAAAGTAATGAATGGTCTGATAAATTCTGGATGCCTAGTAAACCCAACAGACCAAACAGCACAACAGAACTGAGAACCGCTCACTGCCAATTTGGGCGGACCACGGGCAATTAAAATTTAATTTGCCCAAAACCTCGAGGTATAGCAAGCACATAAACCGCAGTATTAAAATTTAACAGCACAGCAGGTCCTGCGGCCAAATTGCCTACTGGCTTTGGCCACTTTAGAGCCCAACACTTTATAACCCAAACCCAACTCCGCCGCCCCGAGCACAAATTAATTGAATTGAGACACATTTTCGAGTGGCCGCAAAAAAGAGAAATTATTTCGGGAACGATTCTTGTGGGCGGCTGGCACATCAAATACATTTATAATTTTATTAGGAGAGTTTTTTTCCATTCGCCGGAATGACAGGCAAATGAAAGGTCCTTGGCAGTTAATGTTTCGAATTCACGCACTGCATGATAGACGCAAAAGGTACACTGAAAACAATTCTTACTTACGTAAAGGTGAAATTAAATAAGTAAACTAATGGCACATCTAATGTGGGTTTAGCTTATATCATACGTATAGTGCTTTATGTAAAATCATTCACGTGGAATAAACAATCAATACATAAATATTTTTCTGGGTTTAGGGCAAACAAGGGCTGAGTCATCCGCATTCTAAGAGAGATGAGCTGAGGAGTGCGAAGCGCCTCTTAGGACTGGTCATAAAACATTTTCTGTACGACCGTCGCGCAACCTTGTAGCAGAGTGTATTGTTTATGTGTCGACAACACGCTGCGGTTCCCGAAATACCAGCTCTGTCCTCAGATCTTGGCCCACTGTGCGGGTGTGTGCTAATGACGCCGCACTTAACCCATGTTACCCGAAAATAGGCGTGTCCAATGTCGCCCGGCAGGTAGTCGTCGGGTCAAAGTAGATGGCGATTTTTATGAGCACTTGACAACTCTATAAACACAGAACGCTTATCACCCCAAGAACACCTCCTCGACCCTCGGTCTCCCTTTCTCCCTTTCTACATCTCTCTTTTCGTGTTCCACACAGACTAACACTTGATCCGCAATTTTCACACGGCTTTAATGTTCGGTTTTATGGCTGATATGCCAGTTAGATAGCTTTAAGCCCGACTCGAGTCGAGTCGAGTCTCCAGACATTGGCCCCTACCCAAACAAGGGCCAAGAGAAATATGGCAAAATGAAAGCATTGCCAAAGAAAAACCTCACTGAGAGATGAAAAACTTACGGACGAACTTTTCGCTTTGGGGCGAGGAGCAGCAGACTGGCAGGCTGTTCCAACTCAAACCGAAGATGTTGTGTAGGTTTTTGTGTGTTTCTGTCCCTTCTCGAGATCTCCAAGTTGCATGTTGTCAAAATTGCTTTGACGTTTTATTAGTTTCCAACTGGCCCCCGAGCAGCCGCACTCTAACAAACCGACAACATCATCATCATCGTCATCATCATTGTCGTCATCCCGGCATGGCAAACGTTGAAGAAGAAAAAAACAGAAAATCGACAGAAAATTTACATAAGAAACGTTGAAGGATGCTCCACGGGCCGGGCACACTTCACTCTAGCCGGCGCTAAAAATAACAAAAAAACAAACTCCCAATGCGCTGACCAAAGCGAAATGAATACTCTCTAGTAAAAAGCAATGCGACTCCGTCTCCGAACACATTCGAAAATAGTTTGCGGCATGTCAAAAAGCCAGTGACCGCATTAAATTTTCCTCTCCGGCAAACGTATTTCTTTTTGGAACACTTCCAGGGGACCAGCGGAAAGCCGCATAACCAGGCGGCCGTTGAATTTGATCGGCCAGCCGGCCAACCAGCCAGCTGAGACCCCAGAGATTTACGTTCTCATCCAGCATCTTTTACACTTTTTGTTTTTGGGGGAAGAACGATTCGTGAACTCGCGTGCAGTTTGTTTTCCCAGGGAATTAGATTGGTCACTGATTAATCACACGAAATGAGAATTTATTGAGGAAATCAAACGATCAAAAAGGCGTCTGAGAATTAAACGGATTGTAAAAGATGCTAAAATTAGCCAATTACAACAACGTGCTTAATTATCTCTCTTTGGTGGATCTGGGGTGCAGCGAAAAAAAATTTGTCACTCAACTTTATTTTTATGACTTTTTCTAATGCCCGTTCTTATTAAATATCAAAATATGTTGGGGTAAGTTATCAAAAAAAAATTAAAAATCCGTTCTTTATAAAGACATAATGATTTCCTTCGATTTTCCTTTCCTGCTAAAAATGAAGTAAAGGGCATATAATCTTCGACTCTTTAGAGGAAAATACATTTCTATAGACCAAATGGAGCACACGGCGCAACTCCCAAAAATGAGATTTGTGAACACGGCTATTTTTGTGAACGTTGCAACCGGGCATAGAAAAATCGGGGAAAAAAGCCCATGACAAATAGTTCAAAGGCCCAACTCGTTGAGAGATATTTTTTCCGGCGTCAAGTGTGTGTAGTTTGTTATTTTTAGCACAAATGCTGGACGACGCACCCAAGAGGCAGAGATACTGCACATGACGGAGGGAATAATTAATTCATTGCATTGGCCAAACTGTTTTTGGTCGGCCCGGTTCAGCTCCGGCTCACTGCACTTCACCTCACCTTTGAAATGGGTCAGCAATTGTAAAGCCGGCAGGCGGTTTCCTGCCTTTTGTTTGACGATCATGATTATGACGATGACGACGACGACGCCCATGTTGTTGCGTCACACTCTCCATACCACGCCCATAATGTAATTTGCCCTTTTGGCCTTTGCTCTAGAATCAGATAAATTTGGTTATTGCGTTTTATTGGCGTGTTAAATTGTTGCAACTTGCAGCCTATGTGTCTATCGATTGTCTGCCCCACAGGCCCAACTCATTAAGTGAAATTGCCATAAAGACAAGCGTCTTGTCTTGGAGTTTCCCCCCTCAGTATTTGCCCATGTGCCGTCTTTGCCTTTTGTAATTCAACTGATTATGAGATTGTTGACTTGTGTGCGCCTTCTCTTCCTGTGCGTGGTGTTTGTGGATAATGGGGAAAGTGCTGGGGCTCATATATATATATATATATATATATATACCATATACAATGGGAGTCAGAGTAATAGCAGTACAAAGTTTAAAATGTTTTTTTTTTAACTCTTAAAAAGTTTTAGTTTTCCAATGGG